TATATATTCCAGATTCCTGCCATAGAACAATGCCACACAAGGTACAAAATACTATCCTTTGATCACTGATGTATAGACAGAAACCAGAATAAAATCAGTAAAACTGACCAGAAGGCATCACAAAGCAGCCATTCAGGAAACATGGCTTTAGAAATTCTAATGAATGAAAATCAGATTAGCTTAATAACTGAGACATGTCAAAAGAACTGAACTAGATAAACCAACCTTAAGCAGAGGTAAACTTTGGAGGGCCAGGCTGAAAACACAGAAAAGTGAGGCCGCACTATGGAAGGTCCTGCCTACCAGGCTGGGTTTGGACTTTTTTCACAACTATTAACTTAAATCACCTTTTCAAAAAGATTAACTTCATGGTAATACACTGAATTATATGGCAACAGAAAAAAATCATGTAAGTTTAGAGAGGCGGTTAACTGTCAAGCCATAAAGTGTAAACATGTAGCTATGCTAGTTGAACAAGACAAAAAACAAACTGGCAATACATCACTTATTAAATATAAGGGATAAAAAAGAAATGCAAAAATTAAACAACTCAAATATCTAGGCTAAGTAACTAGGAAATCACTGTTGCCAGGTGTAGTGGCACACACCAACTGTAATCACAGCACTTGAGAGGCTGAGGCAGGAGGATTACAGTGAGTTCAAGGCCAGGCTGGGCTACACAATGAGTTTTAGGCCAGCCTGAACTACACGGCAAGACCCTGTCTCAAACAAACAAACAAAAATCATTGCTATTTACTGAAATAAAAAATTGGGGTGAAAACCAGCTGGTTTGGGGGAATAAAAGATGGGTACAGTGGGGGTATAGCAGTGGACTCAATCTCAGCATGCAAAGTAGATTGAACCCCAGCACATACACACAGACAGGCAGGAAGACAGACAGACAGACACACACACACCCAAATATACAACCCCCACACACAAAGTTGGAGAAACACAGGTGGCAATCATTCAGCTATCACTGGCATATTCTCTGACAAGATTTAATTGTATAACCAAATTGAAGTAACACTGAGAAAAAAGCTAAATAGAAAACCCCATGCAATTTACCTATGATTACAAAGCCACCCCCCCAAAGATGGCAAATGGCAGCTTGGACACTCTTTGGCTAAATATTGCAAGCAGAAGATATTAAGTAAAAAAGTGAGTTAAGGCAGAAATTCATCTTCCCTATACACTGGACCCTCCTGGATATAAAGTAGAGATCACGTTGGATGTTTTAATTATATACAACTTTGTGACAATGTTAAACAATATTCCAACTGGTTGGCTTAATGGATAAGAATTGAATAAATAAATGCTGGTTCTTGAAGCAGGATGAAGAGTAAATATCTAAAACTTGTCACACAAGTTTAAAGCGTCACTTATCAGTATTGCTGTTGCTGCTGAAACAAAACAGTCAAAAGAGCAGATCTAATCTCCAGGCAAAAAAATTGTCACACAAGGAGAAAACTGGAAATTTTCATTCAGTTCATCAGATTAAAGAAATAACTGGTTAATAAAAATGCCCCAGGGCTACGAAAAGTCACATGTCAATTTATAAAACTGTAATAAGCTTATCAAATGTGTAAAACTTTAAACCTTGCATCTTCTCAGCCAGGATTTTACAAAAGCATGGAGAAAACATTGCGATGCATATTTTGTCTTAAAAATGACAAACTCTCCTTCTAGTTCCTAGTTCAGTTACAAAGACTCACCTTTATTGTCAAGGAATACATAACCATCAAACCGATCCCTGAACAAAATAATGTCCTCCTGGTTCTTAAAGTTGATATATGCTCTGGCATACATATGAGGATACAGACTGCAAAAAGGAACGCAATTACGTAAATGTGAATGCAGGTGCCTGGCTGAACTACACCTATACATATATTAATGAGATAGACTCAAAATCAAATGGAAAACATTAGTAGGATAAAATAGAAGAAAATTTTTCATTTACCCCCTCCCTCTTTTCTTTTTACCTAGTATCATTAGAAAAAAACTCAAAATAATCATGCTCAGGCATAGGTTGAAGATGTTCCTGAAGCTGCTCCTTGGTCAAAGTAGGAGGTAATCTTCGAATTACCACCTTATGAAATAAATAAGGAAAATAAAATTAGTACAAATCAATTCTCTGTCCTACCAAGCATCAGTTTCTGAAGATCAGCTTTAACACGGTCTTTAAAACTCCTGGAAATGGCAACTCCCCTGGAAGAAGAAAAATCTCAGGACGTGCTCTTACTTCGCAGCCCACCAGGTTTATGAGACATTTTCTATTACTCATTTTTAAACACGTCTAGTGACAAATTACTATGCCAACTCTGGTCTTTTGTGGGTGCCATAAAATCATACTTTAGTAGCATCTCTCAATCGCATTCAACACACCTAAAACAAAATCATTGCCCACTCAGCTTAAACATTTCAAAACTACACACACAAATTCACCCGATGCTCTCAACATAGGCTGCTGTTCACCTGCCTCTCCAGACCCCTGCACGCCTCCGTTATACTACAGTAGTACCACAAACTACTCCCGCCCCTGGGGTGCCCTTCACTATGCAATAATTCTCCCCATTAGACTTAATTCTTCATTCCCTTTTCCGTCGTTCCCCCTCCCATTACCATTTCCACAGCTCTGACTGACCGCTCTCGCCCGAGGACACCCCCCGCCGCCCCCGTTCCCTCAACCCTACTCGGGAGATGGCGGGGGAGATGCTACCCCATTTCGGGAGAAAGTACAAGACAGAGTGAAGTGATTTTCATTCAGGCGAAGTCATAAGGGGAACTCGGGACAGGAAGACGCAGCCCCATTTCCAGCCATCCTCCAACAGCGGCGGACCCGTCCCGCCCTCTCCCGGGCCAACCGCCAGCCCGGCACCTTGCTCAGCGCCTCTTTCTTCTCCTTGTTGCGATCATGCTTATCCTCCCCTTTGGCGCTGTCCCCCGAAGCCCCACAGCTACTGGCTGAAGCCCCCGGGGGTGTTAACAGGGTTACTCGCTTCTCCTTAGGCCTATGCTCCTTCTCTTCCTTCATGGTCACCGGGGTGCTCCTCTCAGCGGCTGCTCAGTCTCAACCGTACTCTAGGAACCTACGACTCCCTGGCAGCTCCCGTCGGAGCTCCGCCCCCAACAAATGCCCCTAGTGATAAGCCGGGCCCTGCGTTCCATTGGGCCCCTAAGATCTCGCGAGACTTCAGAGCGCCCGGCTTCCTTCTGTAGGAAGGTTTTAACACCTCGTTTTTACTTCCCGCCTTCCAAATCCCGCACCGCCCAATCCCCTGGCGGCCCATACTCCCTCGGGGCCCGCCCCTTGGCGCGTCATCAGCAACTACGCCATTTTAAAAAGGCTCTTTCGGGGACTACAAATCCCAGCTCACCCAGCGGCTGCCCCCTTCTGGTTTAAGTGCTGGAGCTGTAGCCGTCCTTGGGTTCCTGTTTTTAAAATAAATTGCATCTTTTTCTTTTTGTGTGTGACCGGGTCTCGCTAGGCAGTTCAGGCTGGTCTCGAACTCACGGCCATCCTCCTACCTCAGCCTCCCAAGTGCTGGATAAATTACATCCTGAAAATTTGTTTTTTCAAGGATAAGAAATAGACTCTATAGGGTTAATTGGCTTAGTTTTCCTCAGATAGATTCAGTATTTAAATTGTGCTTCACTAGGGGAACAAAAAAAAATTTTTTTTTGACAAGGGCTCGCTGCATAGCCCAGGCTTGCCTCAAACTTACTATGCAGCCCAGGCTAGCCTTCAACTGGCGGCAGTCCTCCTGCCTCAGCCTCCCCAGTGCTAGAATTACAGACTTGCACCACCACGCCTGAATAGGCGAACAATTTTTTTTTCTTTTGTGAGAGAGATCTTGTTATGTTGCCCAAGTTGGCCAACTCAACTATCTTCCTGGCTGAGTTTCCCGAGTGGCTGGAATTACAAGCACATGCTGCAGTACTGAGCTGTATACTGTATCATTGAATCTAAAGTGTACTTTCAGAGACTTTAGAGTTTCTTTTCCATGTATTGATTAGGATTCACAGATGCTTAATAAAGACACATGATACTGATTTAAAGGAGTAATATCACTAAAATGTATGAGATTTTATCATCCTTGTTTTAGTAAAAGGATTCTCATTTGGCACTGGTGTCCTACAAGAAGGGGAAAAGCAACTTGATTTAGTTGGGAATCACCCTTCTCCTTTCTTGTTTGTTGTTGTTGTTATTTTTAATTCATTAAGTATATTGGTACATTTTAGGTATACATTTTGATCACATTCATCATTGGGAATTTGTACCGGAACATGATATATCTTGGTTCTTATTTTTTCCCATTCCTCTTTCCTCCCTGCCACCCCGCCACCCCTCCCTATTTACAAAAGCTTTGTTTCCAGGTTTTCCTTCTTTGCTCATTTTTTCTTTCACTTCTTTCCTTTCCCCTGCAAAACCTGCCCTAGATCCCCTTCCCCTTTGGAACTTTTCTTCCTATTTCACAATATCTATTATACATTTTGGTCCTCATTTACACTTTCAGTTTCTCACACCAGAGAAACAATTCAGTATTTACACATTAATCCTATTTATTTTACTTATGCGTGTGGCTTTAAGGTACATCCATATAGCTATAAATGTCTCTAGCTTATCTTTCTTTAGTAAAGTACTCACACTGTAATTCAGGCTGGCTTTCAGCTCACTATGTAGCCCAAGCTGGCCTCAAACTCGTGGCAATCCTCCTGCCTCAGCCTCTTGAGTGCTGGGATTACAGGTCTGCGCCACCATGCCTGGCCTCTCCTCGCTTTAGAAAAGGTAAATTTTACATTATTTATAGCTTCCCCAAACTGTGAACAATCCTAAATGCTCATCATGAGTGACTGGATGAGCAAAATGTGCTACATGCATAGAATGAAATACTGCTCATCAGTAAAAATGAGCTGGTAATACAGGCATCAACATGAGTGAACCTCAATATGGCTATGTTGAATGGAAAGAATCCAGGCACAAAGACAGTATATGCTGTATGGCTTTATTTATAAAACATTTCAGAAAAAGTAAAGTTGTAGTTGTTAGATCAATGATTGCCAGAGCACAAGGTAGGGAAAAGAGATTGATTACAAAGGGGCTCCAGGGAGCTTTTTGGCATGATGAAAATGTTCTTTATCATGATTGTGGTGGTTGCATGATGGCACACATTTATGTAAACTTATTGAATTTTACACTTAAAATCAGCGCATTGTATTTTATATGAATTATACCTCAATAAAGTTCAGGCCCACAAATTTTTAAAACTATTGCCCCGAATGAGAGAGAGCACATGCATTGCATCAAATCTAAGATACTACTGAATCTAACACCACTGATATTTTATATACCAAGAAAAATCATGCCAACTGAACTATGATACATCATCAATCTTAAGATGTACCTTGAGCTGGAGAGATATACAGACATTCATGGAGTGCAGTACTCAAATTAGGAAGCAACAGGAGCCCGAGGCAGAAGCTCTGGCTCAGGGCCCAGGTCCCATTTCTGCTGACGCCTAGAATATATTAGGCAGACTCTGTTCTTACGTGTTCTCACCCTTGTTGCCCAGCCTGTGCCTGATTTCCTAACTCCTGTTGCTGAGAATGTTTCCTGTATGTAGGACCGGCCTTCAGTATCCAGCCATTCCCGACCTGCTGTTTAGCCGTGTACTTCAAGCCTGGTATGTGCCCCTGTTTTGTAGTGCTCAGTGGCTTTAAGACGCCAGCTGTTATGATAGGTGTCAGTGTCATGTCCCAGACCCTAGACCTCTTTCTTTTTTAAATCTACATTCACCCCTTTGTTAATCTCATGCGTTTATTCAGTTTTTCCTCTTCTCACTGACAACCCCAAAATTTCTATCTCCAACCCGTTCCTCTCCCCTGACTTCCGGGCTCACACTTAACTGTTCTCTTGCTCTCCACAATCTCTGAATGTCTCTAAAGTGGAACACTTGATCTTCTTCCCCATCCACTGTATTAGCTTCCTATTGCTGCTGTGACATTACTGAGACAACTAAGGGAGCACTATGGCGGGGCAGTGGTGAGACAGAAGCCTGGAACGAGAAAACAAGCCCTTGGGAGCCGAGAACTAGTTCCTTTTGTAGCATGGCATGTTTCAAAGGACCTATCATGATAGGTGATAAAACCACACAAGCAGAATGTTTGTACGAAATGAGAGATTGTTACCAAAGAAAGCCCTAAATAAGTCCCTAGCAATCAGACAATTTTTTCAATTAAATGAAAATGACAACATACTGGAACTTATGGGACACAATGAAAGCAGTCCTATGAGGAAAATTTATAGCAGTGAATAATCATATCAGGAAAACAGAGTGGGCTCAAGTAAACAACCTAATGTCGAACCTCAGGCTTCTAGAAAAAGAACAAGTCAAGCTTAAAGCTCATACAAGGGAGGAAATTATAAAAATCAGAGCAGAAATTAATATAATGAAAAACAAGAAAACAATATAAAGAATCAACAAATTGAAGAGTTGGTTCTTGGAAAGATTAAAGATATATCACATAAAGGTATAAATTCCCAATGATAAATGCCATCATATTGTATATCTAAAATGTACCAATAAACTTAATGAATAAAAAAATTGACAAACCCTTACCCAACCTTATCAAAATAAGGAAAGACTCAAATCCACTCAATTAGGAATGAAAAGGGTGAAATCACAACAGATCCTGCAGAAATCCAGAAGACCATCAATACCTACTTTGAGAGCCTATATTCTAACAAGATGGAAAATACAGAAGAAATAAACAAATGTCTAGTTACATATGAATTACTACAACTGAATCAAGAAAATATAGAAATTCTAAATAAACCAATATCATCCAATGAAATAGAATATGTAATTAAAACCCTGGGGTTAGAGATTTAGCTCAGTGGTGCTGCGGCCTGCCTCAAAAGCACAAGGTCCCGAGTTCAATCCCCAGTACCAAAAAAAAAACAAAAACAAAAAAAACAAAAAAAAACCACCTCTACCAACAAAGAAAATCCCAGGCCCTAATGGATTCATTCCTGAATTCTACAAGAACTTTAGAGAAGACCTAATGCTGCTATTCCTCAAACATTTTAATGAAATTGAAAGGGAAGCAATACTCCCAAACTCATTCCTGAAAGCAAGCGTTACCCTGATTTCAAAACCAGAGAAGAATCCAACCAAAAAGGAGAATTACAGGCCAATCTCCCTAATGAACACAGATGCAAAAATCCTCAATAAGATACTGGCAAACAATGCATCAAATCATCAAGAAAGTTATACACCACAGCCACATCCGCTGCTGGGATGGTTCAACATATGTAAATCAAGAAATGTGATACACCATTTTAACAGAGCCAAAGACAAAAACTATATGATCCTCTCAATAGAAGCAGAAAAAGAATTTGACAAAGTCCAACATCCATTCATGATGAAAACCCTACAAAAAATTGGCATAGATGGTTTTTATCTCACTCTCATAATATGAAATGGACAAAAACTGAAAACTTTCACTCTAAAATCAAGAAGACAAGGATGTCCACTGTCACCACTGACAATATAGTTCAATATAGTTCTGGAAACATTAGCCAGGGAAAGTAGACAACAGAAAGAAATAAAAAGAATAAAGATAGCAAAGGAAGAAGTTAAATTATCATTATTTGTGGATGACATGATACTCTACATAGAAGACCCCAAAACTCCACCAAAAGACTTTTAGATTTGATAACTAAATTCAGTGGCATAGCTGGATACAAAGTCAACACTCAAAAATCAATAGTCTTCCTGTACATGAATAACAGACTCAGGGAGAGAGAAATTAGAGAAACAATCCTTTTCACAATAGCATCCAAAAAACAAAAAATGAAATACCTAGGAATCAATCTAAGAAAGGAAGTGAAAGACCTCTGCATTAAAAACTACCGTACTCTGAAAAAGGAAACTGAAGAGGATATCAGAAAATGGAAAGATATCCCCCTTGTCCTTTAATAGGAAGAAGCAATATATAGTGAAAATGGCCATATTTCCAAAATTGTTATACAGATTCAATGCAATACAATCAAAATCCCAACAGCATAACTCAGATTTAGAAAAAACAATCCTAAAATTTATTTGGAACCAGAAAAGACCTAGAATAGCAATGGAAATTCTGGGC